GGCGGTTTCTATGAAAAGACATGTTGCAATCAGCCATAAGAAAAACATATGCGTTTCACGTCGGCCAGCGTCCGCACTGTGTTAGGCGCGATGCGTAAGGTATTTCTGCACTCTTGTAGGCGCTGAAGTACTTCTCCTGCCGACCAGCGACCGCCGTGCGCTGAACGCAATGCGTGAAGTATTTCTGCAATCTTGTAGGCGCTAATATGCTTTCCGCGCCGACCAGCGACCGCACTGTGTAAAGCGCAAAGCGTGAAGTATTCCTACACTCTTGCAGGCGCTATAATATTCTTTTCCCGCCGACCTGAGGCCGGGTTGTGTTCGGCGAGATTAGTACCGATGATACGGCATTAGATTTGATAGAAACTGTAGAAACAGAAGAAAGATAATAAGTTTTAAACATGGCTGGGTAAAATTGATGGAACAATTTATTTATGCAGAGTGCAGACAAAAATATTCGAATAAAGAGTTTCAAGGTAAGAGAAACGTAGGTATGCTATTTCCGACCCTCTCTACTCCCGCCGGTAGAGCAGTGGCGCGAAATTTGAATTTCTATAACGTTGTACTCTTGGCCGAAAACTAATATGACCGTTAGTTGTTGATAAAAATTGAAAAAAAAACAGCCACAATACTAAAAGAAAATGAATGCTCATTTGTAAAGAATTGGCTTGCATTGAATTTGTTCGTCTTTATCAACAGTAGATAGGTTAAAATATTTGTTTTCGGCCAAGACTGCAAAATTGTTGAAATTCAAACTTCGCGTAATAGCTCTAGCAGCGGGAGCCGAAAGCTGAGTTCTAACCCAAGGGGTCGGGAAAAACATATACCTTTGTTTCACTTGCCTTGGACTGTACAGCCACTTTCAAGTCACCACCTCTGAGTGACCTCGAGAGAAATAAGAGTACATCAATTAGTTCGGCAAGACACTTTCTTCATCCTCAGATGTCTCATCCTCATCAAAAGTGTGACATTGTGACATCACTCTGATGTCATAATGACATCCACTCTAAATTCATAAAGCACTGTGACGTCACTGTGATGTCCACTAAACACTGCCATCATGGTGATGCGTGAATGGTCGTATCGATGTCAGAGTGATGTCAAAGAGAAATCAGAGTGATATCAGATGGGGAATCAATTTGGGTATTGATAACGATTTGTTCCATAAAACATTGCAATGTCTCAATGATGAGGTTATTATGTTCCACTTTGACCAGGGAGAGTACAGTATCGGTCGGTCCACCAAAAATTTGATCAATCAAGTCCCTTTGGATGATCTGATCGGGAAAAAAGTAACAGAAAGTATCCCAAAGCAACCATAACCACAGCAATGTTGAATCGCACAATGTACATACTATTCATTACGGCGGAGAAAAAGAGAAAATCGAAGATGAGAAGGAATCGAGGCTATGTGGCGCGTCGAGAGGCGAGCTTGGGAGCTGCATGGGTTGGCCGCGATCGGGTCGGGTCCCTGCTCGAGCGGAGCGGAGAGGCTCCTAGCTCGCCATCGATTCCATCGCCCGGGTAATTGGGATTTCAAAGACCGCATTGCAACTAGTGCTCCTCTGCATTTTTAATCCACATGAATACAAATACAACTTTGTTCTGTGCAACGCTCCGCTCGCCATTGCCTCATCTCGCGCTTTATTTTTTCATTGATTTATTTTTTGACCTATAGAACCAGCGGTTCTCATCTCTGAATTAAATCGAAATAGATCACTTTCGTCGGTAACGTAGCATGTTGGTGACGATTATGCTATCAACAAACATGAAATCTTGTCGTGGAGTCAACAATTAATTGTTGACGTCGTGCTGAGGCAAGACGAAATCAAAATTGACCCTAAGCATGGTGTCAACGATCACGGTGTCAACAACCAGAAAAATGTCTTTGAGTAATATTAAAAATTAAGTCCCGGGGAGAAGTTTGGGAGATGAGGTTCAGACAAACCGACCTATATCTTCCTATTTTCGGCTCGACATTTTTCATCCGTAAACAAGCCGACTCAATTTTGTGTTTTTCGTCACTAACGCACCATTATGACACCCCTGCTGCCGTATACTAAGGAAGAAAGCCGTAAATCTATCAAGATTTTCCCTCGTTTTTTGGAACTTAACACTTTATAAAATAAAAACTGTTTTACCCATGCTCCTCAAATTTTCAGGTTAAGTTTCTGATAGTATTTGCAAAAGAATTCTGTAAAAATATTCATCCAAGGTACATACCTGTTTTTCTACTATGATGCATTGTTTCCAAAATATGTAAAATGGCGTTTACGGCGTTTTTGCGCGTTGCACGGCAGCATGAGTAGCCACATTATTTTATGCAACGTATTGAAATCAAGTGAGTATGCTCTTTTCTACTTCTATGGGGGTAAACAATATTTAAGCGCTGGCTGCGAGTAAAAGAGTCTGGACCACGACCAGATTTGCCTTCCATTCACAAGATAGGCAAAAGCGGGTCCTCAAAAGCTGCAATAGTCGTATTTACACTTTGTAAGAATAATAACAATATGCATAGTGCGCTCAGTCGATGTAAAAAAACTACTATTAACTTGCAAAATTAACATAACTTGTTGCATACTAATTGTCAACTTATTTAATAATTTCTCAGACAGATTTTTTATATTTTTCTCTTCTACAGTTCCTTATACTTTGTCATGATCAATGGAAAAATTGAAACGCGTCCCCGGCATGGTGTTTACTGAAAAACTCCTAGGTATGCATTCAATTCCGATATAAGCATGCAGGCCCGCCACAAGGGGGGGGGGATACTGGGTCCTTGGTACCGGGGCCTGGGCCCTGGAGGGGCCCGTGACGCAGGTGACAAACCACTACGAATTCATGTGTAACCCTTGTCTCGTAAGGAAAAGTGAAAAAATTAATCTAAAAATTCCGCAAAAGGTAAATAAAGTTTCAGAAACACGCTAGGGCACTATAAAATTTTTCTTACTTTTTTAGAGATTTTCAAGATTTTGAGTATATGCAGAATGATATTTTTAGTAACTGCATGTGTTTCATTTTCTTCCGTTGTCGGATGCTAAGAGGCTCCTTTCTGGACATCTTCGACTTCAATGGCTTAACTCCCTTGCCATAGACGTACGAAAGGGGAGTCCAGGCCTCCAGGGGGGCCCGGCTCCCCATAGAATTGAAAATTATCATCTGCCCCCTCAAACAAAATTTATAGATGTTTTGAATGCAACAATTCGAAAGTTTTTGGTGCTGAAAGTAAACAAAAAGGCGGGGGAGGCCCCCCGGACCCCCCTGTGCTAGGGGCTCAGGCCAGAAAATTGGTACCAGGGCCCGAGATGGGATGTGGCGGGCCTGTAAGCATGAGCTAGTTTTCAGGAGCTGGAATAATGGTGAACGCACATTTTTAAAAATTAATAGCGCGAGCGGCTTGGCGACTGCGGCTTTTTTTACCTTTACATTTACAATAATTAATTGTTACGCAAAGGCTGAGACAAAGTTTCTTCAAATTCCTTTTCATTTTTTGCTTCTGCTATAAGTCCCCACCGTGATAAGATGTAAAATGTCATCTGAGCGCAATTTTCCGCAAATAATGGTTTTTTTATTCATGAGAAGACTCTTGATTCTCAGACCACCTGAGACCTGTAAAATCAGAGAAAGAGTTGCACAAACTCAGCGACAACTAATGACACATACCAGGTTTATAAGCGACTCTTCATGTGATATAGTTTACCAAAATTCTTACACGTCTCAGTAAATTAGAGCATTATATGAGGAGCAGTGGCGTCGCGTGAATTGCGATGTATCATTTGTTATGCCATTTAAATCTATGGTAAAGAATCAATTATTAAGGAGTGCTCTGCGAACACCCTGTTTATCGATCCTTTTTCATAGGTTTAAATGGCATAAAAATCGATGTATCGCAATGCACGCTCCGCCACTGGAGCATGGACACGTCGAAATGTGGAGCTCTGAGGATCCAGAAGGCCAACTGACCCTCTAACACAAAAGATACCTCTGCTAATCCTCAGATTCCAATTTTAAACCGAGATGGCTAAGAATGTTTATTAATGAGCGTTTTTCCGTAAAAATGAGTGAATTTATGCAAAAACTCAATCAAACACGTGCGTTACAAACAGAGGGTCGTAATAATTGTGATAATTGATCACTCTAGATAAATCGAGGTTGGCTGCATTTTTGGGATTTAAAAGCTCCATGACCAGTGTCCGTAACTCAAAGGCGCCAACGCGCCAAATACGCCTAAAAAATCGGTTATGGCGCTTAAAAAATGAAGGCTCTGCGCCAACGTGGCCCCTAAACATTGCCCCCTATTCCTCCCCCCAGAAAAGTCTTAATTTTTCTATTTGGTGATTTTTCGAAATTTCTCCCATGTTACAGGTACTTTTTCTATATCTAAAACATCTTGCGTCTAACTTTCCACTGAATGCGCCGTGATATTTCAGCAAAAAGTCAATTTGGCCCCTATAAAATCATCCATGGCCCCTAAAAATTGAGCTTGATGAGCCAAATGGCTCCTGAAACTCAAAATGAGTTCCGAACACTGTCCATGACCTAACCTCAAAATTACCGAAATACCCATACTCTCCCTAAATAGGCACTTGAAGTGAAACAAGAGGATCCTGCGAGGATCGATCGAGCGGCAAGGATGGGAGGGTGCGGGCGGGGCAGCCCAACGACGAGGAAAAAAGCAGAATAAAAAGTCACGAGCGAAACAAGAGCCGCGAGCCGGGAACAGGGGAGAAAACTTTATTCTTTCAATTCCGCAGCCCAATTACAGCAGATTAATTGGCTCATTTAAGTGGAGCCAATAAGAAAATATAAAAGGCGTGGATATCGCTCCAGCGCCGGTCCCGATTCGCGGTCGGCTCCTCCGCGGGGCGGGGAGGGAGGGTGGTCGAGGGGGGAGGGGAGGGGGCTACGTGCCGCGCCGCCTATGGCCCTCCCTCCGAGAACCGGGTCGACCCACTCGCGGATCAACCAATACTCGCGTTCATTCTCCGTCGAAGAGCGGCTCCAAACGCATGGGAGTTCACTCCGGATTGTGTTCAATCAAATGAAAACAAAGTGTTTCCCGCGTCGTGCCGTGTGTTTCCCCCGGTTTTTGTGTTCGTTTGGTGTTCGTGCTGCGTTTTGTGTCGTTGTTCGGATATAAATCAATGTACGACTTTGGATTGTTTTGACAGAAACGTGTTGACAAGTGCCTGAGCTATCGTGCGGTTTACTATCACTCTCTACCCTTTTTTGGATTATCAAAGTTAATTTATTTAAAAAGAAACTTTGCACCACTCAGATTAATGTGCTGAAAAAATAGACGATGTGATTGATTTTAATAACGCCATAGTCACTGTGAGATCGGCAAAGTTGACTAGTTGTGATGTCATTCAATCAAAACGATATCTCTCGTTGTTTCTCGACTAAAAGTTTGGACAAATCTATCAATAATCAGAATTTTCCCATTGCTGTTAAATATTTTAATCGATTGTGAGATTCTCATCTCTTACACTGAGTGCGCTGAGCCTGATTATCCCTGTGATCTCATTTGATTGACTAATCGTGCAATTTTACTTTTCAAGGAAAATTTTCGTTCTCTTTTTTACGTCAGTGAATTAAAATTGCTATCATATTCTTAAAATTTGCGTACCACGATCAGAAAAGCTGAGACGTAAACAACTCATGAAAACAACTTTATTTATTAACATCGAACAGTGAACGGAGAGTTGTAGCGCGGCCATTCGAAAGTCGTGAACATTTTCTCGCCAAATTCGTATAATTATAAGTCAAGCTAAAAGCTTCAGGACTGTCCGGGGATACTACACAAAAAGCAGTTAGCAACTGCCCTGGACTAAAGTGATAATATCAGTGTAACGTCCGACTTCCCCAACGGTCAGTGTAATTTGATGCAGGAGCAACACCAGAAGTGATCTTCTAGAACTGGACACCGGTACCAGCAGGTGGGATACTGACTTCTGGGCGAAGAGGTGTCAATGGTAGCGTAAGTCTACCCGAAGGAGTTAGACTTGCAATGCGAAAAATGACGTCATCAGTGAGTGTGGGCATATCGGAGGAAGAAGAGGAGGACCAGGAGATCAACGTGGACTCGAACGGCGAAGAGATGGAGGAGGACTTCGATCTGGAAGACTCGGAGGCCGCCGAAGAGGACGAGCGGCTGCGGGCCGACGAGACGGACGTCGAGAAAGACGACAGCTCGGACTCGCGCGACGTCAAAGCCGCGATGGCGCTCCCGTTCAGCATTTCGCGGCTCCTCGGGCGGGACGACGCCAAGCCGTCGCCGGACATCGCCCTCTACTCGCACCCGGGGTACTTTTCGCGGGCCTCGCCGCCGACCTCGGACTCGCTCATCTTCACCGCCGGCAACGGGGTCATCCGGGTGCCGGCGCACCGGCCGGCCAACCCCGGGCTCCACACCCCGGGCATCGCTGCCCCGTTCCCGTGGCTCGCCGCCGCCATGGACCCCGCCCTCATGCACCGCTCGGCCGCCGTCGCCGCCTTCGCCAACCACGTTGTCAAGGAACGCTTATCAGGTAAGCCTCCACTCTAACCCGCCATTCTTTCCGACACTGGTAAAAAGTTAGCTTGGATCAAGAGTCGACAACATGTCGATTAGCGATCAAAGGTGACTTGACAGTCTGGCAAAGAAAGCCCGATCAGGTCTCTTTAACGAACCGTCCGGCGACTTGCACCTGGATCTTCCGGAAACTTTGATCCTTGGAGATCCACTGGTGAAAAAAGTAGCTTGGATCAGGAGTCCAGACTCTTGAAAACATCGACAAGAAAGAATACACTTGAATCAATCGGATTTTTCCTTGAATCGAAGAGCCAAGCCTCTTGATTCAAGCGGATTTCCATTTGAATCAAGAGTATTTCTTCTTGTCAATGTTTTCAGAGTCTGGACTCTAGATCCAAGCTACTTTTTTTACCAGTGGATCTTCGAGGATCAAAGTTGCCGGAAGATTCAGGTGCAAGTCGCCGGACGGTTCGTTAAAGAGACCTGATCGGGTTTCCCTTGCCAGACTGTCAAGTCACCTTTGATCGCTGTTCGAAATGTTGTGTTTGCCGCCTGGAAAAGACAAGACCAAGAAAGAATGGTGTTAAGTAACACTGGAAAGAAACCGCATTGGGTCTAGAGTCCAGACTCTTAAAAACATCGACAAGAAAAAGTACTCTTGATTCAATCAGAATCCAGCTTAAATCAAGAACCAAGCCTCTTAATTTAAGCGGATTTTGTTTTGATTAAAGCAAAAATCTGATTGAGTCAAGAGTATTTTTTCTTGTCAATGTTTTCAAGAGTCACTCTAGATCCAATGTGTTTTTTTCCAGTGATTGGTTGGCTCTATCAATCGTCCTCTTTATGACGTCCATGTTGGGCTATGTTTGGTGGAAGTAACGACAAACTATGGCTGAAGTAACTACTTCAACTAACTAGCTGAAGAGGTACCTTTAGCTTGACTTCGATTCCACGCGACATAGCCTGACATAGACACAATAAAAAGGACGACAGACACAGCCCATCAATCACCAATCGCTTAACCTCTTCTATACCTTGGTCTTGTACAGCACGTACAGTCAATAAACACAAAATTTCAATATTAATTGGACCGTGGATGGTTCCTGGTGGTATGAGTAAATATACTGCTCACATACATGCCCATGGGAGTGTTTCCTATTCCTATTCCTATCAGTGTTTCCAAAGACGTTTCCGATCCTGGGAACAGGTAATGTCCTTCTTCGAGTCAAAGTCATACAGCAAACGGAAAGAGGGTGTGCTTCGATGGAGCGCCAAGCCGACAAGCTTTGGACTTTCTCTGCGACAAACCGACAAAGTTGGGAAAAACATTGGCTGAAGCAGCTCGGTAGCACTACGCGCACGTTTACGATGAACCAAAAATTCCGTTTCTTCACCGGGATGCGCTCGATCTTTCCTCGGTTGGTTAAAGTATCTACTATTCCTGTGTCATTTTGCCTTCACTGGAATAAAAAAAAAAAAACACATTGGATCTAGAGTCCAGACTCTTAAAAACATCAACAAGAAAAAGTACTCTTGATTCAATAAGATTTAAGCTTACATCAAGAACGAAGCCTCTTCACGGAGTTCCTTTCGATTTAAGCTTAAATCTGATTAAAGCAAGAGTCCTTTTTCTTGTCAATGTTTTCAAGAGTCTGGACTCGAGATCAAATGTGTTTTTTTTCCAGAGTTAGCAACCTTCATCATCAGACGAACAGGCTATTCCAGCGGGCCAAATGTTTTCGTCCGCCATAATTATGATTAGCGGCCTGTGTGTGCATGAGGATCTAGAGGAAAATCCCGGAATTTTCCGGCTAAAATATACTTTCCCGGGAAACTTGTGAGGAAAATATTCACACATAAAAATAATAAAAATAGTTACAAACGGTAATCGCACTTTGAAATGCCACAAAGAACTTCCATCTTCTCCCCAGTCCATAGGGGGGTCTGCATGGGAAGCCATTGAAATTTTAAATCTATTTGGACGCATTTTGAGGCTTCCGTGACCCAGATTTTCCATCAATTTCTGTGGAATAATCTTATTTTTCTTTTTACCTTCAGCACAAAATACTTTCGAATTGTCGTTTTTAATAGATACGGACATTTTTTGAAATTTTAACTCCTTGACGAAGATTGTTTCCCACCATCTAGAATTCCTGGGGGGGGGGGGGGGGG